GAGTTATGTTAATCCCAAAAATGAACATTACATTTTTATTTATGTAGATTTTGCCTTTAAGTTGTTTCTGACTTATGGTAACACTAAAGCCAAGGGGATTTCCTAAGTTAAGAAGAGGCTTATCATTGTCTTTTTCTGAAGCTGAGATGGTATGACTTTTCCAAGGACAACCAGCGGGATTCACGACTGAGAGGGATTTGTATCTGGTCTCCAGTTGTAGTCCAATGCTTAAAGCACTACACCAAGGTAGCTGCTACTGTTTGTACAGTTTTAAATTACTGGTTTTATTTCACACAATCCTGGGGTCTTTTGATAGAGGAAAAAATACAAACAAAATAAAAAACCAAAATCAAAAACAAGACTAAATAATTACTTGGCATTGATAGTTAAATAATTAAAAACAGCAATTGCTGTTTCTCATACAATACCCTGGGCCACATCAAAACGTGACTCTTCTGTGCTCTTATAGGCAACTTTTAAAAATTTTCTTTCACTGCCTCTTTATGTCTGATCACATGTTTTCCTCTCTTCCTCAAGGAAACCCCACTGTCATATGCTGTGCATGTATTTTAACCTCAATGATTTCTTCTTCCTCTGTCTTTGGAAATAACCTAGGAAATAAAGGCACCAAAGTCACTATTCAGACATGTTGGGGAATTGAATGCTTGTACACAAATACTGCCAAAAAAGGGAGAATAACTGGAAGCATTTGATCAAGACCTATTTCTTATACCTGATTCCAACCTGTATTCCAACATGTGAGGAACCTCCCTATAAAGAAAGGGTTCAGGGTTCATGGCATTTTAAGTTAGAGAAAAGATGAAAAAAGTAGGACAAATTATTTCTGATTTACAGCCACCCTACAACAATCCTATCATGGGATGTTCTTTGCAAGATATGACATTGTTTTCTTCTGAGGCTGTGTGGCCTGTCCAAGGCTGACCACTGGGTCTCCATAGCTGAGCATGGATTTGAACCCTGGTCTCTTGAATCATAGTCATAACATGTTGTTGTTGTTTATTCATTCAGTCATTTCCGACTCTTTGTGACTTCTTGGACCAGCCCATACTAGAGCTCCCTGTCATTGTCACCCCCAGCTCCTTCAAGGTCAAGCCAGTCACTTCAAGGATAGCATCCATCCATTTTGCCCTTACTTGTCCCCTCTTCCTTTTTCCTTCCATTATCTTTTCCAAGCTTTCCTGTCTTCTCATTATGTGGCCAAGGTACTTCATCTTTGCCTCCAACATCCTTCCCTCCAGTGAGCAGCCAGGCCTTATTTCCTGGAGTATGGACTGGTTTGATCTTCTTGCGGTTCAAGGCACTCTCAGAATTTTCCTCCAACACCGCAGTTCAAAAGTGCCTATCTTCCTTTCCTCAGCCTTCCTTATGGTCCAGCTTTCTCATCCATCGGTTAATATGGGGAATACCATTGCTTTAACTATGTGGATCTTCATTGTCAGTGTGATGTCTCTGCTCTTCAGTGTGATGTCAAAGTGTGAAATAGCAATCTTGGGGGCCAGATACCTGACCTGTACAAGAGGATGCATCTGGGTAGATGCTAGCAGTGGCCATAGCAGTTCCCCAAGGATACCATAATCTGACACAGAGTTTCCTGTGGGCAGGTGTAACGCAGAGCTTTGAAAACTGATTTTTGTAGGAAACAAAACTGTCATTTCCCTCAATCACCCTGTTTATTGGTCTGTAGCAATATCATACGAAAGCTACAGACCAATCTCCCTGTTGTGCCACCTCTACAAAGTTCTGGAGAGACTTATTTTGCATAGAATTATGGAAAAAATAGACCCATGTCTGATTCCACAGCAAGCTGGCTTCAGGAAAGGCAAAAGCTGCACATCGCAAGTGCTGAACCTGACTCAGCACATAGAAGATGGCTTTGAAAGGCAGCAGATCACAGGAGCTGTCTTCATAGACCTGTCAGCAGCCTATGATACTGTGAACCACCGCCTCCTCCTGAGAAAAATGTATAATATCACAAAGGACTACCACTCACCCGCCTCATAGGAAACCTGCTACAAAACAGGAGCTTCTTTGTTGAGTTCCAGGGCCAGAGAAGCAGATGGCGGAAACAGAAGAATGGCCTGCCTCAGGGGAGCGTGCTTGCTCCATCCATGTTCAACATCTACACAAATGACCAGCCACTGCCAGAAGGGACAGAGAGTTTCATCTATGCTGATGATCGTGCCATTACTGCTCAAGCAGGGAGCTTTGAGATGGTAGAACAGAAGCTCTCCGAAGCTCTAGGTGCTCTTACTGCCTACTACAGGGAAAACCAGCTGATCCCTAATCCATCTAAAACACAGACATGTGCTTTTCATTCAAGAACAGACAAGCATCCCGAGCTCTGAGGATCACCTGGGAAGGAATCCCACTGGAGCATTGCAGCGCACCCAAATACCTGGGAGTCACTCTGGACCATGCTCTTACCTACAAGAAGCACTGCCTGAACATCAAGCAAAAAGTGGGTGCTAGAAACAATATCATACGAAAGCTGACTGGCACAACCTGGGGATCACAACCAGATACAGTGAAGGCATCTGCCCTTGCGCTATGCTACTCTGCTGCTGAGTATGCATGCCCAGTGTGGAACACATCTCACCACACTAAAACAGTGGATGTGGCTCTTAATGAGACATGCTGTCTGCGCCCTACACCACTGGAGAAATTACACTGTCTAGCCGGTATTGCACCACCTGACATCCGCCGGGAAGTAGCAGCCAATAGTGAAAGGACCAAGGCAGAGACATCTCCAGCTCATCCCCTGTTTGGGTATCAGCCAGCACGCCAACGACTTAAATCTAGACATAGTTTTCTAAGATCTACAGAGACACTCGCTGGAACACCTCAGCAAGCGAGAGTCCAAAAGTGGCAGGCTCAAACCCAGCACCTCAACCAATGGCTGATACCAAATGAGAGACTCCCTCCTGGGCACACAGAAGACTGGGCGACTTGGAAGGCACTGAACAGACTGCGCTCTGGCACCACGAGATGCAGAGCCAACCTTCAGAAATGGGGCTACAAAGTGGAATCCTCGACATGCGAGTGTGGAGAAGAGCAAACCACTGACCACCTGCTGCAATGCAACCTGAGCCCTTCCACATGCACAATGGAGGACCTTCTTGCAGCAACACCGGAAGCACTCCAAGTGGCCAGATACTGGTCAAAGGACATTTAACCAGCTACCAAACTCACAAGTTGGGTATTTTTCTGTTTGTTTGCTTTGTTCTGTTAGAAATGTAATATAATGGACTGGCTGCTCTGACACGACAAATAAATAAACCCTATTTATTATAAAGAGTGTTTTTGAAAGTCTGGCGTGTAAGAAGCAACCGTTTTTAATTTTTCTTGTTTTGCATGATTAATCAACAAATGACTCACCTGCTGACACTTTGAACTTCCTTTCCTGAAAAAGTATGCCATCTCAGTGCACATGATCATGAGAAAGTGAAATGAAAACTGTGTTGCTTGGTCGACTACACCACAGATTTGGCCCCACCTAACTGAAATTACTAGAATGATGTTGGTTTGTGTATTTAGAGTTCTTGCTGGAATGTACCACTGCAGATAGAAAACAGTACTACTGATTTCTTCACCACACAAACCAATGCTTCTCGTAAGTTACTACATCTGGGGGACCAGCAATGACTGTTTGCAGTGTACCTGGATCTGGGACTAGATTTGTACCTATCAAAATTGTTTATTTTTTCTTCTTCTTGAAAATGTAATAGCTTTGTGAACCAGAGCCAGTGTAGTGTATAGGTTTGAGCGTTGAACTTTGGAGGCTAGGGTTAAAATCCCTGTTCAGCCATAAAATCCTGTTGAGTGGCCTTGGGCGAGTAACACTCTCTCAGAGAAAGATAGAGACAACCCCATTCTGTACAACCTGGATCAACATGGATTTATCAAAACAAAAAAGTCATGCCAGATTAATCTGATCTCTTTTTTTATAGAGTTGCAAGCTGGGTAGATGCAGCATATCTGGATTTCCATAAGGCCTTCGACAAGGACCCCCATGACCTTCTGGCAAACAAGCTAGTCCATTGTGGGCTAAGCAAAACTATGGCTAGGTGGATCTGTAATTGGTTAAGTGAATGAATCCAGATGGTGCTGGCCAATGCTTCTTCATCCTGAAAAGAAGTGAGGAGTGGAGTGCCACAGGGTTCCATCCTGGGTCCAGTTTTGTTCAACATCTTTATTAATGACTTAGGTGAAGGGTGAGAAGGCATGATCATCAAGTTTGCAGATGGCACCAAATTGGAAATGGGGAATAGCCAATACTCCAGAAGACACGAACAGAATTCAAAACAATCTTAACAGATTAGAGAGATGGGCCAAAACTAACAAAATGAAGTTCAACAGAGTCAAATGCAAAATACTCCATTTAGGCAGGAAAAAATGAAATCCAAAGATACAGAATAGGGTATGCCTGGCAGTACGTGTGAAAAAGGTCTTGGAGTCCTTGTGGATAACAAGTAAAACATGAGCCAACAATGTCATGCATCAGCAAAAAAAAGCCAATGGGATTTTGGCCTGCATAAATAGGGCCTCCTTCCTTCCTTCCTTCCCTCTCCCTCCTCCAACGGTGGCATGCATCCCCAGCCGCGGACCTTATTTTAGGTCTTGCAACCCACAAATGGGCCATGACCCACAGGTTGGGAACCACTGGTATGTAGGTTACATACACCAGTATACCGGTCATTTACATAATCCTGGCCTTTATATTCTACTCTTCTTCCAAAGAGCAAATGGTGGTATACTTGCTCTTCTTTATTATGTCATCACAACAATCTTATGGGACAACTTTGTTGAGAGATATATTGAACAGCCTAAGGCAAAAAGCATACTTGATGAGTAGAATGTGAACCAGTCTCATGATTTTTTTTAAAAAACTTATTTCACATAAAACACTTTTCTCAACCACATACACGGATTGGATTTCAACCCAAGTTACTCAGTTTAAGAATCAGGTCGTTTCGTTTTTTTTACAAATTTTATCAGTGTCTGACTCACACAAGACAAGCAAGTGCATCTAGAAATTATTATAATTACTAAATTCAAGAAGGACTATAGTTTTAGCAATAATATACATGCTTTATTATGTATTTATCATTCCTGGAATCTTCTACTAAAAGTGTACTGAAAAGTAAAATGTAAATTACCTTCCATCTGGGTGACTAAATCAACCAGAATCACAATGATCTGTGTCCCCTTCCCTTTGTCACTTTCTTTGCATTGCATATCTTTTAGATTGTAATCAGGGACTGAGTAATTATTTATTTTAGTAAATTGTCTATTGAGAATCTTGCTGTTTGTTTTTAGTCTGAAGAGCAGGATAAAAGAGTTGGAATAATTCAATAATATTTTAAGTTAACAGATATTTACCAGAACTTATTGGAGTGCAGAGCCTATCATCCCCTACCCTTGCCCATGCTTACTGGCAATGATGGGACAGACCTTGAAGGAGCTGGGGGTGGTGATGGCTGACAGGGAGCTCTGGCGTGGGCTGGTCCATGAGGTCACGAAGAGTCGGAGATGACTGAACAAATGAACAACAACATAGTCCAATATATACTGAGAGTACACAGTTAAAGAAATTTAAGACTATATACATTTCCTGTATTGACAAAGGAATTCTGCAATAAGCACATAATGATTTTGAGCTATAGATTTGTACGTATGTGCTATAGTTTCATACTGCCCAATAATCAAAGTTCTTGTGAATCACAACGTAGAAGCATTGAGTCATATCATCTTAGTGCTGTAAAGTACCACAAAGGCCATCTAGTCCAACCCCTGCCATGAAGAAATCCACTACTAAAACAGTTCTGAAGATGCCCATACCACCTTTGTTTGATCATTTTGAAGGAGAATGCACCATAGTCTAATAAATAACAGTATGGAGTGCTTTGGTTCATAGTTGTCCAGCTGGAGGCCTCGCTGTACCAGGAAAATCTGTTAATATGTTATGGTTTGCTTTGCAGAAGTCTGCATTTCATGCCAACTCAATGTGCTTATCATTGATTTATTATGTGGTACCTTTTCCCCTTGAAGGAATTTTTCTTCTCAAGACTCCTTTTCTATATTTCTGAAAATCTCATCAGGGTTTCTCTGAACCCTTGGATACTTTTTGCCTTTGCTGAGATGGTGCCATTTCAGCTACATATAGAACATTTCTTGAAAAACTAAAGTCATGATTACCATGTACTAAGAAAAGAAACATACAGTGATTTTAACTAGCTCTTTCTTTCTGATCTTTTTTGCAGACAAAGTAAAGAGGGCCCCTTTACATGTTATGTATTTGTTGGAGTCACTCAGCAAAAACTGATAATAACCTTTGTCCTGTTTCTTATCTTCTCTGAAGGTACTATTCTGTACATTTTATACCTTGCTGCCATGGTCTTGCGATTGAAAAATAAAATTATTTGCTGTTGAAAAGAAACTTAGTGATACATTTCACTGCGTATGTGAAATTTTTTAAAAGCACCGGATGGTATTTTGAAGTTCAATTTCAGCAAAGAGTATTTTATCAGATGCATTTTCTAATTCTTCTGGAGGTCCATCTATTTGGTCAGTAATTGAGTTTCTCTTTTTTCTCCCTGTTCCTCGGAGGGCAAGAATAGCTGAGATGTGTTCCTTTCTGCAAAGTACAAGAAAAGCTTGGGTTTTTTTGTTGTTGTTGTTGCTCACAAGGAAACAAAATGGACATGGAAAACAACAAACACAAGTAAACTGAATAATACACAAGATACCTCCAACATTTCTTGGCAAACATCTTCCAAATTATCATGGGACAAAAATGAGCATTGACCCTCAATAATTTTCTTTTACACGTCTAAAGAAAATCTTGCAAAGATTGTTTCTCTAGTCTCACATCCTTCCGAGATGAAAGATGTCTAGGAGCTGTCAACATCGTTCAAGAACTGATGATGTGTACAATATCAGGGGCTCGTAAGAAGTATCCTGAAGAAGAATTCAGCAACTTGCCTCCTAAAGAGGAGATTTGAGAGGAGTGTATGCAAACTATATAGCCATTCCTCATCCCACACCTGCAGTAATGACTTCATGGATTTGATTAACATGTTCTCTCAAGAAATGTATAGGTTCTCCAGCATGACGTTATGACTTCCTTAGGTAATTCTGGAGGATCTAGTGATTTCTAGGGAGAACATATGTTCCAGTGTGATTTTGAGATCGGCTTTCACTGTAAGGTGAGCATAAAGTTTGCTGAGAAACCTAGAACTTTCTTAAAAAGTGGTCTCCTGGGTAAAAAAAAAAGTTAGTAATTTCATTGTATTATTGAAGGCTTTCATGGCTGGAATCACTGGTTTGCTGTGAGTTTTCGGGGCAGTATGGCCATGTTCCAGAAGCATTCTCACACACTTCCAGCTATTCTTTTTGAAGAAAGTTAGTACAGCATACCTCATATCTGGATAGTTCTGTGACAAGTCTTTAAGACAGTCTTTGATTTTTTGCTTCTTCTTCTCCGCAATGATGTTAGCAATGCATGGAATGGCAGGAAGGAGCCAATCAGCAGTTGAACCCTAGGCAAATGTTAAATTACATGGTAAGGGCATTTCATTTAATGATCTATATTTAAGAGGAAAGTGTTTAGGTCTCAAAGATAGAGACGTATTCCTGTATCATTTTTTAAAAACCCATTATGATACACAATATGCCGATGATGACTTAGTCTGTGTGCATTCAGAAGAAGACCTACAAGTCACTCTAAACACCTTTGTAGAAGAAAACGAGAAGCTCAGCCTCTCAGTGAACACTGAGAAAACCAAAGTGCTCTTCCAACACACCAGCCAATCCCTCTGCAATGCCAAAAATTCAGCTTAAAGGTGTAATGTTAGAAAATGTTGACCCTTTCCACTACCTTGGCAGCCCCTCTCCACAAAAGTCAACATTGACACTGAAATATAACACTGCCTGAGCTCTGTGGGCGCATCATTTTTCCGAATGAAGCAGAGAGTGTTTGGGAATTGGGACTTCTGTAGGGATACCAAGATGCTTGTTTATAAAGCAATTGTCCTCCCAACCCTGTTATATTCCTGCAAAACGTGGACTGTCTACAGACATCACACTCAACTCCTAAAATGATTCCATCAGTGTTGCCTCCAGAAAATCTTGCAAATTTCTTAAAAAGACAGGTGGACAAATGTGAGCATGCTGGAAGAAGCAAAGACCACTAGCACTGAAGCGATGCTCCTATCAACTCTTCTGGACTGGCCACGTTGTCCGAATGCCCAATTACCGTCTCCCAAAGCAGTTACTATATCCCAATTCAAGAACGGAAAACAAAATGTAGATGGGCAGGAAAAGAGATTTAAAATGGGCTCAAAGCCAACCTTAAAAACTGCTGCATAGACACTGAGAACTGGAAAGCCCTGGCCCTTGAGTGCTCTAACTGGAGGTCAGTTGTAACCAGCGGTGCTGCAGAATTCAAAGAGGCACAAATGGAGAGTGAAAGGAAGAAATGTGCCAAGAGGAAGGCACCTCAAGCCAATCCTGACCAGGACCACCTTCCACCTGGATGCCCTCACTGTGGAAGAACATGTGGGTCAAGAATAGGGCACTACAATACTTATTAGTGTTTGCCCTCTCTCAATTCTGGAAAACAATGACAGGCATTCCATTCAGCAATTACAAGAACACATGCTGAAATTATTTGATCTTGCATTAAGGAATGAAATGATCAAAGATATACATCTCTACACCAAGCACGGCGCTTCTCAGCACTTTTCTTCTGATTTCAACCACTCCAGTGTTTTCATTTCAAGCATTTCTGCATCACCTTTCCCACATACAGGTTAGGGTGTGTGATGTACAAACATAATAATATTGAAAACAATCAAAATAGCAGCCTGTATGGGAAAGGATTAATAAAAGCAAGCAATAAAATAGAATCATAGAATCATTGAGTTGGAAGAGACCACTTGTTTGGAGTCTTCTTGTTGTCCATGAGGACTACAAAATAAACTGTTATTTGCAGTGGAATGGAAATTATGTGACTTGGATCCCTTGGTTAGACATCTTCTCTCATCTCCTTTAATCTCAGCATCATTACTCAATTCTCAGTTTCCTCAAGAGTTAAAATATTATTCTTAGCCATATTCTCCCTTCCCTTGTGCAAACTGGATTACAAACTGTTCTAGACATTCCGAGCTTTCACATTCATTCAGCCATTCAATTGCATAGACTTTGCTGCTAGAATCAAAATGATATAGACAGCTGGAAATTAAAATTGGTCTGAAATGTCTCACCCAATTTCTTTGGAAACATTCCATTTAGAAGTGTAATGCCTGGTAATAATATCAGCACTGACATGATAAAGCTGGAGTAATTTGAGGAAGTTGAGAAGAGTTGGCAGAGACAGAACTGATTGTCCTGAAATATTGGAGGAGACACCCTCCTTTGGCTTGGTTCACAACTCACTTGGACCTCATCACATTAGCTTCTTAGAATCATAGAGTTGGAAGAGATCTTGTGGGCCATCCAGTTCAACTCCTTGCCAAGAAGCAGGAAAATTGCGTTCAAAGCACCACAACAGATGACCATCCAGCCTCTGCTTAAAAGCCCCCAAAGAAGGAGCCTCCACCACATTCCGGGGCAAAGAGTTTCACTGCTGAACAGCTCTAACAGTCAAGAAGTTCTTCCTTATGTTCAGATGGAATCTCCTTTCCTGTAGTTTGAAACCATTGTTCTGCATCCTAGTTTCCAGGGCAGAAGAAAAGAAGCTTGCTCCCTCTTCCCTATGACTTCCCCTCACATATTTATACATGGGCCTCATCATGTCTTCTCTCAGCCTTTTCTTCTGCAGGCTAGACATGCCCAGCTAGACATGTGATGAGGTCCTAAGTGTATGAAAGAGGATGGTGAAGAATAAAGGGGTGCTTGTCTGATGCTTCATCCCACTCCTCTATTCTGTATCCTCCACTTTCTTCCTAGAATGTACTCAGCCCTTCCTAAGCCAGGCTTATCTTTGGTATCAGAGCTACAGTTTAAAGCAAAGGGCCCATCTACATTGAAGCTGCACGTTATGGTCAGTGTAGACTCATATGATGCAGCTACATCATATGAGTCTGCACTGAACTGCATTATATACGTTTACATTGCACTGAACTGCACTGAACTGCATTATATACGTTTACCTTGACCACATAATGTGTAGATAGGGCCAAAGATACAAGAAAACATCACTGCCAACACTAGCTAATCCAGGAAGTGGTCATCATATAGCCAAAATTTCACAAGAGTAAACTGTTAGAAAGGGAACTCCCTTGTTTGCAAAAGTACAAAGTGAAACAAAACAGCTTAACATTGACTCCGTTTTTGCATCACCCATGTACATGCAAGCTAATGAAAACCCTAAATCTTTTAGAAGTCCAAAAGAAAACCCTTGAAAAGCCTTAAAGGATCAGACCCACTTAATCAACAGGAAGTTTGAACAGACAAACTTTAATGTATTGTCGAAGGCTTTCATGGCCAGAATCACTGGGTTGTTGTAGGTTTTTCCGGGCTATATGGCCATGTTCTAGAGGCATTTTTTCCTGACGTTTCGCCTGCATCGATGGCAAGCATCCTCAGAGGCAGTCTTCCTTCATTTTCTTTTTCCATGGTGAACTGGATGTTTGGGTGGATGCTGTTAAGATGGTCCAGGAACCTTTAACATAAACTGAATTGATTTACACTTATATTGATTCCACAGGTCTAATCTAATGGGGACTACTAATTAAATTTTGGCAGAAAATTGAGAAAACTTTTTTAAAAAACCAAACCAAAACCTGCCTAATAAAAAGTGAACCAGTTCCACGACAATAAAATGCTGATGGGGTGCCATGGGGAGAGCAGGAATTAATTGGAGCATCTTGAATCCTGGATGGAGATACTCTGTGTTGCAATATTAGCCAAGATACTGGAAGTTTGAAACCTAAAGTTCTGCTGGGAAAACAATGCCATATCTCCTGTGTCCATCCTCCTTGAAACCACTCTTTCATGCTATCTCACGAATACATCCATGGAGTGGCCAATGGAGAATCAAGGACAGTGACAATAGCCAGATGAACAACAATGACATCATCTTCTAAAGCAGAGGTGTAAAATATGAGGATAAAGGAAGGTAGCTTGAAAAGGTGAATTTTTAGGGGAGTTTGGTCATTGTGTGAAGGAGGTAGAACCTCCATAATGAATGAATCTCTCTAAAACTTACACAGTATATAAGTTAGACTTAATGCCGCCATATATCCTTAACAAGATATATCTGGACAGTTGGAGGGTATGTTAATGCAGTCATACCTCCACATTTGCTGGTGTTGAAGCATGGAAATGAAAACTGCAAATAATGAAATTACTTATTTTTTTTACACAGGAGACCACCTTTTTTTTTAGAAAGTTCTAGGTTTCTCAGCAAACTTTATGGTCACCTTCCAGTGAAAGCTGACCACAAAGTCACAGTGGAACACGTGTTCTCTCTAGAAATCCGTAGATCCTCCAGAATTACCTAAGGAAGTCATAAAGTCATGCTGAAGAACCTATAAATTTCTAGAGAGAAAATATTAATCAAATCCATGAAGTCATAACTGCAGATGTGGGGGGAGGAATGACATGTACAGTTTGCATATATTTCTATCAAAACACCTCTTTGGGAGGTAAGTTTCTGCATTCTTCTTTTAAGCAGAGGCAGGATGCCATCGTTAAGGGGTGTTATGAATGTGATTTCCCCTGCTTTTTGGCAGGGGTTGGACTTGATAACCCATGAGGTCTCTTCTAACTCTGTGATTCTATGATTCAATTGTTTCAAGTCCCATCAGTCTATGTCAAAGTGGGCAAATTGTTTTACTGTGATAATGTGAAATTATTATTTTTTATTTGGCCACATTTATAAAACAAGAACAATTTAAGAACACACAAAGAGCAATGCTGGATCAGGCTACATAACTAGAAAAAAACACTGGAAGAAAGCCATGGAATGAGAGACCACCCTTGATAGATGGATTAATGAAGAACATCTGAAAGAAACAGAACATTCTGCCTTTAAAAACTTCCTCACCGCAAAATTACACTTGAAAACTGAGACTTATAATCACTATAATCCATATAGTTATTTCTCCTCATTTCCTTTGTTGTGCTCCCCCTTGTGCTCCCCATCTCTGGAGTCCTTCTTCATGGTTGTATTTTGTAATGAAATGGAATGGAAATGTAATAAAATTAATAGAGAAAAAGAACAAGAAAAAAAGAAAACCGAGATCTTATCTTTCAAATGTCTTTCTGGCTATAAAATAATAGAAAGCAAATACAAAAGTCAACACAAGATTTTTCTCTAATAACTCTAATAAGAGGTTGCACTTTGTTTCTTCCTGCTTTTAAAGCCAAATAATCTATGGCCTCTTTTTCAATTAAATATGGGCTGACAGATTTATGTCATGGATGGATACCAAGAAGAATGCTTGGGCATAACAATTTATTTCTTGTTTGCTTGATAGCCCACAATTGAATGGTACTCCACAATTAAACTAGATATGAAAGAATTCCTGTGTAAATTTTATTGCATTTAGTCACCATAGGCATTTAAATAGGAGTGAATTAGTGGATGTTGTAGACTGCCAAAACTAAAATAAATGGGTGTGAAAGAAATTCAAGCCAAAACTCTTACTTACACTGAGACGTACCATGAGAAAACAGGTGTGTCTGAATGTGCCTTTAAATCCCCTGTATACTTGTGACAACCCCATGAATTTTATTATGTGTTTTCTTAGAACATGACTCACTTGAAAAGACAACAATGTTTGGCAAGATAGAAGGCAGTAGGAAAAGATGAAGAGCAAATTCCAGATGGACTCAGTCAAGGAAGTCACAGCACTGAGCAGGGCTGTTGAAGATAGGGTGACTTGAAGGTCTGTCATTCATCGAATTGTCATAAAGTTTGCTTTGTGGCAGTTAACGACAAACACCCAGGTCCAACATGCAAAAGTTCCAAAATGTTACAATCCAAAATTATACAAATCATTTTGTATAATTTTATGTGAAACAAAGGATATGGTCTGATGGGTGCTGGTTATCTCTCTCTCTTTCTTTTGATACCTTATGTTGGAAATAGTAACCTTCTCAAGCCTCCACTAGTTATTTGTTATGTATATAATTGCTTATTGTATTGTATATGTGTGTATTGGTATGCAATTTTACCTTAACTCTTTGCAGTGGGAGGGGCTGCAGACTATTTGATCGGATTTGGGCTTGTTCAGGGTTCAGACTCCATGTTAGAAACAGTTCAGCTTAGAGACTTCATTAGAAACAGATGTATGCTTTAAGAAGTTAGTTGAAACAGACTACAGAGACTCTATTAGAATCTCAGAACTTTAGATTATGGAGTATTGATTTTAAGAAAGATGCCCTGTGTTACCTACACAGAGAAACTACTTCAAATCCTATTTGTAACTGGGTCGATATGCAAAGTGCCTATATGCTGAATACATGAAGTTTGTGAGTAAACCAACTATGTTACTTTTAAAGAAGTCTACTTATTTTTTGTCTCTTGAGAGAATGGTTTAAACCAAGAGGTTCTAAGGGAAAGGAGATGTTTTTGAGCAACTAAAAAGGAACACTTCTGAAACTCTGCTCCATGAATGCTGGTGAATGCCATTTCCCCAAACGTTTATGATTCCAACAGGTCATGTGTTTAACAAGAGGTTATGGGATCATTCTAAAAAAGGTGATGACTTCTAAACAAGGTCATGCCTTTCCAAAGATTATAAAACCTCCAAAAAGATCTGGATATTTCCATTTTCCAAAACTTTAAGCTGTTTTAGTTGCAAACGTGAGACCTTCTCTCTGAAGTCAGAAAGACAGATTACCACTGGAGTATAGTCTATATATTCCACTTTTAAAATAATCCTTTATTGCTTTTCATCACCTCATCAATAATTTCAGTACATTTTCAATATTTCACATCTTTCTGTATTGTTTCAGGGGCTCAATCTCAAAGTTCAATGGGGCAAAATATGACAGTATTTTTATTTTATACTAGCTGTCCCCTGCCACGTGTTGCTGTGGCCCAGTCTGGTGATCTGGAAAATAAAGTAACAAGAAAGTGTTGGTTTCTAATATATGTAATTCCTTTATGCTTGTGAGTAAACAGTATTTCTTGTTGTTTCTTTGTCAGTGTTGATGTGGAGAGTGTCTGGTTTGCCTACTCTTGAATATGCAACATATCATAGTCCTTCTTTAAGGGTCTCTTTCAAATTTATGATACTATATCTGTGTGTGTGAGAGAGAATCATATCTATCTATCTATCTATCTATCTATCTATCTATCTATCTCTATCTATCTATCTATCTATCTATCTAATTTATGACTGGATGGCTCTTTGTCAGGAAGGCTCTGATTACATTTTCTTGCCCTGGTGAAGAGAGTTGGACTGGATGGCCTTAAGTATTTTCTGTTGGTCATGGAGGTTCTGTGTGGGAAGTTTGCCCCAATTCTGTCATTTGTGGGTTTCAGAATGCTGTTTAATTGTAGTGAACTATAAATCTCAGTAACTACAAATCCCAAATGTCAAGGTCTATTTCCTCCAAACTCCATCTGTGTCCATATTTAGACATATGGAATTTTTGTGTCAAGTTTGGTCCAGATCCATCATTGTTTGAGTCCACAGTGCTCTCTGGATGTAGGTGAACTACAACTCCCAAACTCAAGATCAATGCCCACCAAATCCTTCCAGTGTGTTCTGTTGGTTACTTATTGAATGCATACCCGTTTTCCTCCTGGGATGGGATCAAGGGTGGCTTACAGAAATTCAAAACAAGACTACAGGCAGTCCTTGAGTTACAAACATCTGACTTACAAAAGACTTAAAGACAAGAGTGAGACAACAGGAAGTGAGAGAAATCTACCTCTCGGAAGAGAAATTCACTCCTGAAAGAATTATCATGGGGAAAAGAGGCCTTCATTGAAGCTTTCTCACCAATCCTTGTTTCCACAACAAGCCACTTTTTTTCAAAATCCAATTATCACAGGGACAGAAAGTAAGGGGAAAATCTTCTGACCAGGGTCAAAGATAGCAAAATAAACATCACAGGGCTGTTAACCCTTCCCTATGCTATCCAAAGCATGTATGTACAAATTCAACTCAAGAACAAACCAGCAGAATCTATCTTGGTTGTAATTTGTGGACTATGTGTAGATTTAAAAATTTTATATTATACAAAAGTTTTTAAAAAATCAATTGAATAATTGAATGCTTGTTGTGGCACTTGGAGAGGTGAAAAGTAGCGTGGCTTTCACTTTTGCCACCTCTGTGTTATGGTGACCAATGTTTCACATTTCCTCTAAAAGTGTTAAATATTTACACAGAGATTTTAATATACATTTCTGGTTACATAATCTTAATGACCACAAGCCCAGAAAGGGTTTATTTGTTTACATAGTACTCTGTTAGCATTAGACACTTCAGTCCACTTCCACGCTAGAGATACCAATTGTGGAATTTACTCACCAGATTTTGCATAGCGTAATTTATAGTTGCAGCTTCACAGTGCATTATGTTGCTGACTTCTTCCCTTTTTATTCTTCTCATTCTGCGTCTTGGTCTGAGGATTTGTGCGATATATTCCTTAACTACACACCTGTGAACTTCATTGAGAAAATCCTGTATACCCAAAACCAGGGGGAAAAAAATCATAGATTGATTGATGGGTTGGCTACAAAAGGCAGAGATGGGAAATATATCATTCAGCCGGCCTCTCAATCAAGGGAAAGGCTGTTTCTGTGATTCCAAGCACGGAGGGGAAAGCAGGCGTGCTCAATGCATGGCAGCGTGATGCACATGTGCAGACAAGGGAGAGCGGAGCGAGGCCGGAGGGGGCTCATGCCAGCAAGTTCCTTCAAGGCATGATCATTCTGTGTGGGAAGTTTGCTCCAATTCTATCATTGGTGGGACTCAGAATGCTCTTTGATTGTAGGTGAACTATGAATCCCAGCAACGACACCTCACAAATGTCAAGGTCTATTTTCCCCAAACTGCACTAGTATTAGACATATTGAGTATTCATACCACCTTTGGTCTAGAATCATCATTGTTTGAGTCCACAATGCTCTCTAGATGTAGGTGAACTTCAACTCCCAAACTCAAGGTCAATGCCCACCAAACCCTTCCATGTTGGTCATGAGAGTTCTGTGTGCCAAGTTTAGTTCAATCCCACCATTGGTGGAGTTCAGAATGCTCTTTGATTATAGGTGAACTATAAATCACAATAACTACAACTCCCAAATGACAAAATCAAAATCAAAGGTTAACTATAAATCCCAGCAACCATAACCCCCAATTGACAAAATCAATCCCCCCAACCCCACCAGTATTCAAATTTGGGCATATCGAGTATTTCTGCCAAATTTGGTCCAGTGAATGAAAATACATCCTGCCTATCAGATATTTACATTACGATTCATAACAGTAGCAAAATTACAGTTATGAAGTAGCAACAAAAATAATTTTATGGTTGAGGGTCCCCACAACATGAGGAACTGTATTAAGGGGTTGCGGAGTTAGGAAGGTTGGGAAACACTGTTATAATACCTTGAATTTAATTACCTTGTGCATGGGATCCTTCAGATTTGTTAGATCTTTAGAAAAATCCTCAGCAATTAACAAAATGTTTGTAATGAATGAATCATAAGTTCCACCCTGTGAAATCCAGGCTCGGCTGAGAATCTTCTTCAGCATTGGCTGGAAAAACAATACAAACATATCATAATTAAATCTGATTGTTAAATCACACCTTTTCATTTACAATATTCCCTCTTAAGATCAAAGTACCAATGATCATATGTCAGTTTAATTAGCTTTTACTTTACTGCAAGCTTTCAGTCATTTTTGGTTACTCTGGCCACAGTTATCGATGTTGCGAAGTTTCCTGAACAGATTGTGTTATTATGTTAAATACACTGTCACCCTTACAGATTGTCAGAATATAATAGTTCCTGCTGTGAAAATCGCTTATAGTTTTTTGTATGCAACATTGCAAGTTCGTATTTAATCTCTGCTATTAAGAGTAAAGATTTTTTTTTCTGTTCGTTTTTACTCTTGTCTGTGTGTCTTGTGCATGGGACGTGGCTAAGATCCGCTAGCTGCACAACACAAATTGGACCCAATTCTGCTATCTACACTGCCCCAAAGCTGTGGGATATCCCAGAGTTTCAAGCAAACTTTGGTGCATCAACTGACTTTTAATAAAGTGGAGCACAACTGGAATAACCTAGTTTAATCTAAAATGGAAGGGAGGAATGGAAATATTATGGAGAAAGCCAGGAGCCACCTTAGGCGGAGTTTGAGTTTTAATGTAAACAAGTTGTGAGATGGCTATTCAAACTGCACCTCAAATTTCTCCAGCAATGGCAGCCCAATGCTGCCATTAAACAATGTTGTGCGAGTGTATTTACATTCCTCACAAAGGTTAACTTTCCCTCCATTCACTGTGCTCAGTTACTCAACTGTGACATTACTCAACTATGGGTTTATGTTTCTTTTGTGAAGCAGCAGAGAAGTATCTGGAATTCCCCACTGCTGCAAGCTGTGGTTTTGTGGGATGATCCAACGTGGTCCCAAAAAGTTCATGTTTTTATCTCCAGGGTGGAGTCACTGCTCAGATATATAAGAGGGAGAATCAGGGTTGTATGGGATGCCTGTACTCCAGCAGCCATGGAGAAATGGTTGCATTCAACACACTATTAATATTTCAAGATGTACCTGGTAGGCAGAGTGGGGAAACTGTCTCTTCTCAGTTAAATTGGGGTGTCATGAAATAGCTTAGTTATTTGATTTGTTAATGTGGTACTGACTCCCTGGGCAAGTGGCTTGTGGGATGTTTCCCCCCGCCCCCCCCCCCCAAAAAAAAACCCCAACTGGACTGGCCTTTGGCATTATCCATCTTGACTTTGGGCGAGAAGCATTCTTTGCTTTTTGGTATCTCAGGTAGCCTTCATTGACAGAGTTATGAACAAAACCAGAGTTTAAAAGCTGGCCCTGATTTTTATGAACCTTTCCATCAGCACTGTCGAATTTTCCTTTTGCTTTAATAAAACAGGTGTGGACAGAGGGCAGCCTCTAGGACCAATCATATTTCTTATGCTTGAAAATGCCCTAAAGACCATCTAGATCTAGACTCTAGAGCAGGGGTTCTCAAACTAAGGCCCGAGGGCCAGATACGGGCCTCCAAGGTCATTTACCCGGCCATCATTTAGGGTCAACCTAAGTCTGAAATGACTTGAAAGCACACAAGAATACTATCTCATCAGCCAAAAGCAGGCCCACACTTTCCATTGAAATACTAATAAGTTTACTAATAGCAGAAGCTGGGCCTAACAGCGAGAGCTCATTTTGTTCCCTGGATTTGTACCGCCCACCTTTTGGTCAGCATGTTCAGCTGCTCAGCGGTTTAACTCGCTATACCACTAGGGGACATCCCTTTAAAGAAACGATAGGAAAACTTGTGGTGATTAAAAAAGGGACTTCTTTGCGCATAAAAAGTCATAAAACTTGGCGACAACACCCCCTTATTTTGGAGCATTTAAAAATTATTATTGGAATTATTGCAGCGGCGAGTGTTGTTCTCCAAGGCCTCCTGGGAAGCCAATGTGGTTCCTTAAACTCTAACAGCTATTCATCCTTATTTTATAGGAAAACATACAAGAGAAAAGTGTAACTTGAAACAGAAGAGGAAGATCGTGTGTTGGGTGACTCAATGTAATTGAGTCAGTTCTGGTTGAAATTTCTAGTTGACATTACTAGTTCACTGGTCTCCAGGCTTTGGTCCTCCAGTTTATTTTGGAAACCAATGCAGAGAATTCCTGACAGTTGTCCAAGCTGGCCAGACTGGAAATGACAAACAAAGAGTTGGACAGCCTGTGACAGCAACCACCAAGTTTCACAAGCAAAAGGTTGACAGATTGATTCAGGATGATCGTCGTATCACTCAGAGAGAAATTTCAAGCATAATCAGCATTTCACAAGAACTTGTGGGTCACATCATTGCTTTGCTTGGCTGTCAGAAGAACTGTGCACAATCGGTTGCGGAAACAGATTGTCGACTTCTTCTGTGATGGCTTCAGAAAACTTGTTCATCGTTGGCAGAAATGTATCAAATTGTCTGGTGATTGTGTGGAAAAGTGAATAGTGGTGGTTAAAGAGCACATTCTAAGGACTATTTATGTGTTTGGTTTATTAAAATATTCCCATCCAAACCCAATTAACAAAGGTGGAGGCATTACTTTTCATTCAAAGCTCGTAAATAAATAAATAAGGAATGCAAGATCAAGGAAACAGTCCAGGAGTGCAGGAGGGGAAAATCTTAAACTGGAAAGACTGTAGATATTTCCTCTAATTGTCAAGGGTGGTATGTACACACATTTCCAGTATATGCCTCACTTAATTAAGGGATTATGCATGGCTGGAAAAACGCTTTCCTGTATTCTGTTCTCTTCTAATCCCCAAACTGCATTTCCCTAGATAAATATAAACCCGTTCCACCAGCTGGCAACGGTGTGAAGGAGGCAGGGACAAATTAAAATGTAAATCAAGGGAAAACTAAGTGGAATAGGAGAGGAGGTCAATGAGCTGTGGTAAATCACTTTGAGACACACAGTGTTCTTGATATCCTGCCCGAGATCCTCAGTTTTTTAAACTAGTGAAAATCTGTTTCCACCATAATGACAAGTAAATGCTGGTATATACTGATTGAGTATTGCCAGGCCTGTGGTTCAGAAGAGCATGAGGGTGGAAAGGGATACCCAAAATCAATCTTTTCCATTACGTTTATCAAGAAAGGAATCTAGATGTGTTAGTTGAAAACCCTGCAAGGGAGAAGTATGTGACAGATTCATAGAACAGCATAAATCAAGGAGGGACAATATTTTAAAGCAAGTATGCCACAGTGCCCAGGCTGTTTTTAGGGCTATGATTCCTTTGGCATACTGGTTGTAGTTTGTGGAAGTTGAACTCCAACACATTTAGGGCCATTTTCATTTCACAATTATAGTATTACGATTCTATTTTAACTAAAAGTAAAGGTAAAGGTTCCCCCTTGACTTCAAGTCTAATCATATATAAATATGTGAGAGGAAGTCACAGGGAGGAGGGAGCAAGCTTGTTTTCTGCTTCCCTGGAGACTAGGACGCGAAACAATGGCTTCAAACTACAAGAAAGGAGATTCCATCTGAACATGAGGAAGAACTTCCTGACTGTGAGAGCCATTCAGCAGTGGAACTCTCTGCCCTGGAGTGTGGTGGAGGCTCCTTCTTTGGAAGCTTTTAAACAGAGGTTGGATGGCCATCTGTCAGGGGTGATTTGAATGCAATATTCCTGCTTCTTGGCAGGGGGTTGGACTGGATGGCCCATGAGGTCTTTTCCAACTCTTTGATTCTTTGATTCTATGATTCTATGAATCATATCCGTGTGGTGCTCATCTATATTTTTAAGCCAAAGAGCCTTCATTGTCCACAGATACCATATTTTCAGCAATTTTAACTGTTGTAAATTTTATCCATCTATGTGTCTAATCAGACAGCTGTTGTTAATCTTATTAACCTTGTATACCTTGTACACCTGTGGAGAAAAAAGGGTCTTTGGACCATAATAAAATGTTGTTGTTATTATTGTTTTTGTTGTTATTGTTATTATTATTATTATTATTATTATTATTATTATTATTATTATTATTATGTTTCATTTTAGCATGTGTTGGCCTCTAATAGCTTCAATCTCAGTTGAGTAATGACATACTCCACCTTTCTGCCTCCTTCCTTCCTTTTTGAGTGTTTTGTAGTGAGAGTAACTTATCAAGAAAATCAGCAATGAACCACTGCTGCTGAAATCTCAGCAAGTGAATTCTACTTGTCTTGCAGATGATTTTCTCTTACCTTTATTTTCAGCCCGAATGTACTGGAAAAATATGTCTTGTATCGCAACATGAGGCTATCCAGGGTCTTCTCCATTTCTTCACAGTTGGCATTCCACCTTGTTTGCAAACCTGTCCTACAGTGAAAAAGCCAACAATGTAATGCTGATTAAGTGTTAACCATATCTCTAATGAATTACATATTTATAGAAGAATGTGCTATTTTTCTTAACCTATATCAGCCATAAACACAAAAACCTTTGAAAAACTGCTTTATGGACTACAAGCTCAAAAACTGACCGACCACTGAGGGCTTCTGGAAGTTGTAGTCTCAAAATAACTTTTCCAAGCACTTCATTAAGAATTACCAAAATATGCAGATCTCAATTAAGGGTGCATCTATATGGTAGAATTCATGCAGTTTGACACCACTTTGACAGGCATGGCTCAATGCTGTGCATTCTTGGATGCTGTAGTTTAGCATAGTACAAACCCTTTGGCAGAGAAGGTTAAGATCTTGCAAAATTACAGGTATTGTGATTCTGTAACATTTAGCCATGGCAGTTACAGTAATGTCAATCTGCATTAATTATATGATGTAAATGTACCCTCAGTGTAGGAAGCCATTATTGAGTAACTATTCTCCATTTTCTTAAGGAGATCAAATATGAATTTGCCATAATCCAAAGTTTTTTCTTCTCTATTTCTCTATTGGCTGTCTTTCCATTTATTTTAACATGTTGCAAATAAATGGTTATATGTTAAGTCTAGCAAGAGGGGCAACATGCCTCTGAATACCATTTCCTCAGAAACAGAGTTGTATCACCAAAGTTTTTCCATGAGCATTTCAAGAGGCATCTGTATGGCCACTGTGGGAACAAAATACAGAAAGACCCCCATATCTCGAGCATATATGTTTCTGGACTTACAATGGAATTATAAAACTGTGGGAAATGGCAAACCCTATTGAGATGACCTGCTTTCAGTGGAAGCATACCATACACTTGCACTGGAGGACCTAGAAAATACTTAGATAGAAACCTTTTGCACAACTATAACATCAACTTCCAACAGGAAGAACAGAAAATGTCTAAAGAGAATAATTTTTGAATGAGCATGTGAAACCATGGCACAAGCCCAGGATATACAGTAGGCATGGGCGAATCCATTCAGAAGTTGGAACTAAAGTTGGATGTTTCCCACTTCCATACTGAGTTCCAACGTGCAATGGCGAGTCAGAAGTTCCCTTTAGATTTGAATCAACCTGAGCCATTGAAATTGATGGCTTGGAAGTCGATTCGGATGTGTGACTAAGCTTTTGGGGTAAAAGTAAGCCTGCTGAGAAGCGCAGCCTAAAGTGCTTCCCTTCCAGCCAACTAGGGCATCCGAAGATTCGGAAGCTTTGGAAAGTTCCGATTTTTTGTTTTTGAAAAATTCAGAAATGACTTTAGGATCGAATCACTAGTGCCCCCTACTTTTTTAAAAAAATAGAACCATTTTTTTTATCGCCCATGCCCAGGCCTGTAGCCAGGATTTTGATTCCGGGGGGGGGGGGGCTGAGTCTGAGCAAAAGAGGGTCTACCCTAGCAAACCTTTTGTATCGTTACCCCAATACCCCCATGCATATGGGATAAATTGAGTATGGTGATCAGATCATGATATGAATAAACATAACAGTTTAAATAATGCACCAGTAAGGCCTTCTCGCGGACCACCATAAGAATTTGGGGGGGGGGCTGAAGCCCCCTAAGCCCCCCTCCCCCAGTTACATGCCTGCCCATGCCTAATATATAGTAGTAGTCTTTTTTTTTATTTGGCCATGTGCCATGCTGTTGAAATACATGACATAGAATCATCCTGGAGTGAACAAGATGGAACAACAGAGGTCTTGAAATCGGTCATCACCAGACAGAGCAAATAAATATATCACCCGGGTCTACTGAGATTTGTCGTTTGCAAGAGAGATTTAGAAATCTCTACCAAATAACTCTAGTGCCTCTCCAAACTGTGAACTCCAGAATTCCATAGCAGGTAAAGTGGAATCAGTGTGTTATAACTATGTAGTATGGAAAAGTGTAAGCAATCAGGCTTCCTGACTATGGTGAGATATGTTACACTTCAACATTCCACCTCTATATGTAAACACTCGTGATAATCTTCTGCATTAAATTTCTTGTTAAGTTTTCTACAGGTTTGTGAGGAGTGGTGTAGAAGGTTTTGCCCCCCCCCCCCTTTGTTGGCTTTCCAGAGGCAGCTGGTTGGCCACCCTGGGAACAGGATCAAATGTGACTTTGGGTTGATCCAGTACTTTTTACGTTTCTATGCTTCCCAAACATCCAAACTGATTTTACCACCTCTGCCTTCATTATAAGCTGCAACGTGCAGGAACAGAACAGGTGGTAAAGTGAAAAGCTTTTAATTAAATTGTGCATTTTCTTCTTGCAAATTGGTTACCCGCCAGGCTGATTACAGTACACTGGTACTAATTAGTACAAAGCAAGGAAAAGGCGAGGCAGGGAAAACATAGCAGTGCAGCAATTAAATAATACTCCTCAGTTTATTATTTGGCTTTTCACAGAGTAAAAAACAAAAAAAAACCCAATGGTATGTGTGTCGGGGGATCTGAGACTTCAGCATAAGTGCACTTTAATATGCTGTTTAGTAGTGGTTCTCACACTTCCATAATCCAAATATTCCAGGTTTCAAGTCCATGAAGCTCCAGGTATTTATTTATTTATTTCTAGTTTTTCTATCCTGTCACTTCTCTACCCTCAAAGATGGACTCAGGACAGCTTACATATAGTAGCGATGCAATGCCACTACCTAACAATTACAGTAATAAAATCACAATTAAATACAACAGTAGGCATTAAAACAGTAATAGGACTCTGACAAATAGTAACAGATTCTGGGAACTGAGGACCAAAGACATAGAGCCACTGAGATAGTTTGCCCTCTGGATCCACAGATTCAGCATCCATGGATTCAACCATCCATGGCTGAGATTGGTAGGAATTCATAGCAAGTATTAACAAATTCATGGATTGTGACGAATGAGAGTAACAAGCATAAGCCACCTGAGAACTGCTGTGCAAATCTCTTGTATGAGGTAGATGCAAGTTATGTATCCTTGATCCAAAATACTTGGGAGCCAAAGTATTCCATATTTCACATATTTCTGAATTCTGGATTACTTGCATATATGTAATGAGATATATTTGAGATTTGACTCAAGTCTAAACATGAAATTCATTTATCTTTCATAGCTACCTTATAGACATAGCCTGAAGATAATCCTATACACAATATTTGAAAATAATTTTGTAAAGGTAAGCAAGATTGCGTATATTGTGTATATATTGTGTATATTGTGTATACTGAACCATCAGAAAGCAAAAGGGTCACAATCTCAACCATTCACATGCACAATTTTGGAGTACCATATATATTTGCGTATAAGCCAACCCGAATATAAGCCGAGGGACCTAATTTTGCCACAAAAAACCCTGGGAAAACTTATTGACTTGAGTATAAGCTGAGGGTTGGAAATGCAGCAGCTACTGGTAAATTTTAAAATAAAAATAGCTACCAATAAAATGACATTAATTGAGGCATCCATAGGTTAATTTTTTTAATATTGACATAAAATTGTAATTTAAGAGAAGACTGTCCRACTCTGGTTAAATCATTATTCTAACCTTATTCAATGTAAATGTGCTTATGTATCCTTCCAATAATCACCATAGTTTATTTTAACTATACATTTTGGGGGAAATGCTGCTTGTATATGAATAAGGAAAAGTGGAAAAGACTGGCGTGGGAAGGGGGTGGGAAAGAAGAATTGGAAACATGAAAAGGTTGGAATGAGAAGGGGTGGTTGAAAAAGTGATAAATGAGGTTGGAAAAGGAGTAGCTGGAAAAGTGAGACAGATTGGGATGAGAAGGGGGCAACTGGGGAAGGGGAAACAACTGAGGCAGGAAAGAAAGTTGGGAAAGTGGGAAAGACTTGAGTGAGAAAGAGGGGCTGAGAAAGTGGGAAACTGCCGTGAAAAAAGGGACAAGAAGGAAACAATGAAAATGAACAAAATCTGGCTACCAGTATGAAAAAAACTCTAAAATCAATTCCAAACAAGAATCAACCAGGGCCAATTAACGTCTGCCAACAAAGGAATTGCAAGGCCATTCAGTGCTAATCAAGGTGGCAAATTGCAACATTCACACTTGCCTCAAGCAGTCAAGAGTTCTTTCTCCCACCCTGGACATTCCCCAGATATATAAACCTCACTTGCCTAGTTTCCAACAGACCTCAAAACCTCTGAGGATGCCTGCCATAGATGCAGGTGAAACATCAGGAGAGAATGCTTCTGGAACATGGCCATACAGCCCAGAAAACTCACAGCAACCAAATATTTAGCTTGCTTCATTTTATATATTGGAAAGTAAACACTGGCTTATTTTGAGATGCTTGAGCCCTCATCACTGAAACAATGGGAGATGTGGGCTAATGTTCAAACACAATCAGCTGCAAAAATAGAGTACAGAAATTCCTTGAATGTACCCGTGAAGACTGAAAGTGAGTGCTGCCAATCCTAAATTCATTTCCCAAAGAATACTGTCATGGCAGGGAGAAGTGTGGCCTGAACTCATTTTGATGTGTTAATAATATTTGGCCTTTTATTCCACACTAATAAGGATATAAAAGCAGAATAATTATCCTGTTGAATCAGACCAAATTCCATCTAAATCACCTCCTTCCTACTTTCCTTGTCCAAGTAGCATTTTACTTCAAGAATTAGGATAGAAGGACTAATTTCCAATGTCATGCTGTTCGTAATTTTACCATTATTTCCATCTGTAGGCTTTGGGTTTGTTGTTTTGTATCCTACATGAAAGCATTCACATTTGCACCTTATATCTGAATTGGTATTTCTTAATGATCTGTTTGTGCTGTTATCATCAAGCATGCCAATGAGCAATGAAATGCTTTAAATATTTCCTACAGTCTTTTCCCTAAGTAACCCGACAGCTTTCTAGAAGGGCCCATAATCTTCAAAACCCCATAAATAAAACAGTCAGGAAGCAGACAGAATGAAACTCATCAGGCCTGTCATGTGCAATTCAGGGGAATTGAAAAAGG